ATCGGCATAAGCTAAGTCAGTCGCTCGCTTGCCCGGCAGTAGTCGCATCCAAGATTTTGACAATCACCCAAAGCTCTTGACAAGACAACTTTCATCGCAAAATTGAAGAGAAAGGGTGACATAGGGCAGCCAGTTGTACGCCGTTATTGACAGCGAATGACGACGAAACCTTCCCAAAGACCCTCACTCTGTCGATGTAGAGATGGAGTGCGCATAGGATGGCAGTGTACTTTACTGGGACCCCGTTTTTTAGCATGCAACACCAGCGCAGGTCGATCAACCGAATCGAATGCAGCACGGATTTCTAAGAATGCAACGATGGTAGGCTTTTGGTATAAATGGTGTTCGAGGATTTGGCGGAGCGTGAATACTTGATCGACGCACCCACGGCTAGGACGGAAGCCAGCCTGTTCTTCACGGTACTGCGACTCACTAATCGGGGAAAGTCTAGGGAGTAGTATGGATGCGAAGAGCTTAGGAGCAACCGAAATGAGACTAATCCTCCGGTGATTGGTGCATGAATTGCGAGCACGCTTTGTAAAAATCGGGACAATAACTGAGTCGCCCCAGGAAGAAGGCATATGTTCTTCATGCCAGATTTTGAAGAACAGTGAGCTTAACTAGCTGATGATAACTGTGCTTCCATACTTGAACAGCTACAGAGGAAGCCCGTCTGAGCCGGCAGCCTTAAATCGTCTCAGATGTCGAATGGCAAGACAAACTTGTGCATCACTGGGCGGATCAAGTGTGATGGCCCAGGGCGAGCGGCTTGGTTCGCAAGGAATACAAATGGACGGTGAAGGCCAATTGAAGTAGGAATGAAGATGTTTGGCCCATCGAGCCAAGAGACTCTGTAGGTTGACAACTGGGGAACTATCCGCTTCGCAAATAGTCCAACTGACATCAGAAAGTTCGATAGGTCTGCTAAACCGAGAGAACAGATAGTTTATTTGTATCCATCCTATTGTTTCGTTTTTGGGGACCCTCCGAAACTCATGCAAATATCCGCACGAACAAGGGTATGGTCTGGTAAGAAATGTGGACCAGATTGATTTGCGATCTGTTATACTAGCACGCCAGCTGAAACTGGTTGTGATATGATTAATCTGAGACAAACATTGGGACGCAGATGGGAGTCGCCAAGTAGAGGAACGGCCCCTCGAATGCCGAAAGCGCGTGACTGACGATTGTCTTCGTACAATGTGTGTAGCCTCTCCATTATCCGAGCGGCTCTCATGGTGACTACCGAGGTGACTCGCATGACAACAGAGGACCGACCCGTGCGTTGAGATCATCAGCAAAGACAATAATATAGGGTTTGCAAGCTCTACCCAAGAGGTGGTGTGGCTCACGGTAAAAATCGTCCTTGACCGAGTCGGGACTGCAGCCAGTGGGAGCGTAAGCTGAGAACACAAACAAGTTGCGTCTTTCCTCACGATATTTGTTGATTATGTATGAGCCTCGAAGCCGAACAGTACACAGTCGGTTGTTAAGCGGAAACAAGTATAGTAGTGCGTCTTCGGCTTAGCTGCTTAGCGCTACATCAACGCCAGCCAAGTCTGCCGCAGCTGCCTCTGTGTCACCAGATAGACGTAGGTGAAACATGGCTGCGCGGTCGGTGGGAGATCTTAAACCCAGTGCTGGAGTTTTGCAAGCGTGTTTTGGAAAGAGCAAACATCAATGGCAAGGGATTCTAAGGTGTGCGCAAGAGTAGCCTGCTGCTTGATCTGCATGAATGCACGAACATTGAACCATGTCAGGCGGAACGAAGACTGGGGATGAAGGAGAACTACTGGACGAACTCTGTTGATGTCGACGAAACCGTCAGGAGTGGAATTATGGAAATAGGAATCAGCTGGTAACGGATAACAGCGACTAGTAACAAGGGAATGGGTGGTGTGTGAATAAAGTATGCAAGTAACAGAAGTTAAGGCAGCTGAGCGTGATGTAGCAGACGAAAAATCCATGGTTTTGTCAGTGAGCGTGAGACTACCCGGTTGCCCAAGCCGAAATAGAAAGTTGTCTTAGAGGATACCATCCCCAGCCTTTGTCTAAATAGCCTATGACAAAGGCGGCGGGGCGAATTCAGGGAATCGCGCCCAGTGGGAGTCACTGATTGAATGTTCAGTTCATAAGACTTCCGTTTGGTAGGTTACCAAACGAAGACCTAATCCTCCCCATGAAATAAGCACAATTGCTGGAGTACAATGTCTCATTGAGGTAGAACACGTCGCTGGAACGGGGTACACCCGAACCATCCAGCTGGCACCACAAGGTAGTTCGGCAAGCCGAGGGCTCGAAATAGAAGCAGATGAACTGACGTCATCTGTTTGGCTAGAGATGAACTTATCGACTGGACCAGAGCGACGCTTTGCGACCGCGTGTGTAGGAAAATTAGAAGACGATTAGTGAACAAAGATGGGGGGTCAAGAATTGGGAGATTGAAAACAGGAGTATAAAAGTGAAGTTGGAACGGGGCCACAAGGATGAAAAAGCGCAAGAAAGGGACTAAGAAAACGAGAAAACTTGAGCAGTGGCATTCAAACCCCTATCCACTCCGCTCGATGCAGCAGATAGGGGGCCGTTTATTATCCTCTGTGGCGACCAGTATCAAGAGATTATTTAAAAAGTCCATGTATTGTGAGGGCAGGATACAGTCAGGTTGTCCAGGTCTAGATAGGAGAACGAATAGGGTTCTCAACCAAAGCCTTTGATTCAAAAACCTGACCGCAAGACAGCGGGATTTTAGCACTGGACTACATAGAGCCAGTTTTCCGGAGTGAGGAGCCACCTTCACTCCAACCCCTCAACCTGGAGGGCTAGGAGAAGAGATCAAAAGATGGTCGCAGTTAGGTCATCGAAGGGGTATTGCAACACTACTAGTTTGCAATAGCGCTGTTTAAGCAACATACCTGTCGGATGGTAGTGTATGGCAAGCTTCTGGATTTGGTTTGTTTTAGTTAGACAACTATGGGCTAGGCAATGCAAGGTGTTAGATCTAGTTTTTATGAGTCGCATAGCTGGGACAACAATGGTTAAGGACAATGGGGAAAATGAAGCAGAACGGAAGTGTAGCACGAAGAAAGAGGGTTGGGAGAACAAGTAAATTTGGTTACAGTGGAATGTCCACCTAGAGAAGAAACACCAACGCAGAAGTGCTATTTCATCCACGAATGCCCCAATCGTTGAATTGGCTGGTCCCAAAGCTCCCACTCATTTAGATGTCAAGAACGAGCCAGACCACAATTCGGAGGCACTGTTTCATGCTCTTCATGCACCACATCAATTAATGTACTCAACAGGATGTAGTTGGTTCCAAGGACCTTGTCCACCAACCCGATTAAACCTTTGACAGTTTACATCGCGCTCTTTTGAAATGTCAGACTGATCATTGCGGGGTTCCACCCAACTAGGCTTAATATTAGTAGACTATACATGGTGAGGGAAACGAGAGTGGCCAAGTGGAGAACAATTTTATCGTGAACTTCATCAGCATTTGAACGGAGTCATCTGTTACCACGTCACAACGGTGCCCCCACGTACTTGATAGGAGCCGCTGAGACATCGGAGATAACTACTACATATCACACGGAGGCAGTTATTTATCGCTTAAGCAATGACCTCAGGCATAAGAAGAGATGTTAGGTACTTAGCTGCCACCGTCACCAACGCAATTGCGGCCTCAAACTGATCACATCTCAATCAGTCTCAGTAGGGTGTGGACTGCGGACCACTTAAGTGAATATATCCACAAATTTTTGGGAGGTTTCCGAAAGGTAATCAATAGAAGCTCGACATGAACTGGTTACACGATCTATTGATCCAGTGAGCTATCAGTCACCATTAACAGACATCCACCCGCGATTCACCAAATGGTAATGGGTTTATGTTCATGATGCGATTATCACTTCCTTAGAATCCATGCAATATTCTTTGAAGGAATGAAGCTTCATTGGTTGCTTCAATCTGGTTTGTCGCGGTTGTACGATCCCAGACTACAGTGGATTTCGCAAGCTTGTCGGTTGACTGCTCAAAGAGTGTGAAAAAGCAAATCATGGCGGCCGCCGCGTTTTACGGCGATGGTGAATGATATCACTGCAAATGCGGATAGTCGCAGGTGGCTGGTGATGAGTTTGCGCCGTGATTGCCACGAGCCGTTTGGCTTGAGATGAGTGTTAACAGGTTAATAAGCAACACTTAGGAGATCTCACCACCAGTGACCACTATCAGAGCTCGTGGTGCGAGCCAATCAAGCTGACCTCATGAGCCGCAAATGATCGTCTCACATGGCTGTGTAGAAAAATGATTACTGACTTAGCCTTAGCCTCATGTGAAGAGAATGCTAACGCCGAGTTTATTTGGCATCTGGTCATTGATGTCACGAGCGCGTGTAGTGTGAAGCTGCCAGTACATTGTTCTGATGAATTGAGGCTATGTACTTATGGACATAACAATACCGAGTATACAGTGCTAGAAAGTATTGATACATCTGGTGTGTAGGCACTAAAAGCGTCAGGTAAGTCAAGTCCAATCATGCATCATCAACAACACCAGCCATTTGAACAGATGCTTCGCTGCCTTACAATCACAACGACCTAAGGAACGAAGATTCGAATCCGCGAAAGGGTGGGCTCCCCGCGGTATATTCAGCCGCGTGCGACTGGTGGTGGTTGCATAGCAGCGAAACGTCGTTACGCTGTACAATTGACACGTTATTATTATTTACGGAACGAATAATAAGAGGGAGAGAAGGGGTCCTGGCATAAAACATTAACGCTCTAAATAAACACCAAGGGTCAAGGCACCTACACCTTGTCAACAACGTGCCATCCCAAACAGCTGGTTATAGTGGAATTAGCAAGCAAATAAAATAAATAGGTATATTTCCCTACAAGCTAGATAGGTTACAATGACCTAGGCTCGTATTAAATGTGCAGAACTAAAACGAACTGTGGCGACCGTTAAGGGAAAGAATGATTTTATGCCATAAGAAAACTTACCTAGCAAGAAACTCGCCATCATTGCAGAACAGTTGAAAAAATGGGAACTGATACAAATAGTATAAACAGACATGCAGTCCACTGTACACGAGCAAGAAGATGCGCATATATGCGAATGGGAGTGGATTGATTCTCTTCCGGCAAGCCCAGTGAGTGCCGATAGCAAGGAAGCACAGCAAGTAGACGGAGGAGAGAACGGAGGGGGAGGTGATACCAGTGATGCAAACAAGAAGTACATTGACTAGAGCGCATAAGGTGTTGAAAGCCCAAGCGCGCCAAACCTTCCGGCGTTTATCATCCCAGTCTCGCGTAAAAGGCAAACTTGGTAAACTAGGTGCACGAAATCTGGTTGCTGGGTTGATGTTTGCAGCGGAATTGTTCAACGGTAATAGCGAAGAAACGTCAGCATAACGACTTTGTTCTGCCGCAGATGTGCACCTTGCCGAAGGAGGGTGATCCACTCCAGAGTCGCATACGGCTGTCGAAATCGGACGGCTCCGGGCACCAGCACGACGATCATGGCGACTGATGTACACCAGAATGCCAACGGCAGTGGCTAACGTGACCAAGTCTGGCACAACAAGCCGCATTGATCGATAAAAGAGCAGACCATTAAGACTGAGAATCTGGTGAGGAAGACGAATGACCTTACCGTTGCAAACCGATTTGTGAGGCAATAGTTATATCCTCGCCTTAACGGAGAGTAAAGATTATGTAAGTGACTCACAAGAGGTCAACGCGTTCTCGTACGGAGGCGCAACTGCCAATATAATGTGAAGGGCAGGGTGGGACAATGTGAATATACAACTGAGTGTAACCAGAACAATGAGGAATATCTGGATCCTGACTGCCGAGAGTATTAGGATGAGGTATAGGGCCTTACGTTTCCCATGATTTGATGAAGGTTTAGGCAATAGAGGACACATTAACAGAAAAAGAAAATAAGCAAGTGAAAAGCCGTTGTAGCGGACGCCGGAAACTAAAAGATTAGTGTGACGAGAATACAGCCTACCAAGCAAGAGAACAGCAGGAAGAACAGCTCTCAGTATAACTGTCTCCATTTTTAAGCAACTACGGATAAAGCACCATCAATCTATTGCTAGTAAATAAAAGTGTTCAAATGCGCGATACAACTTCTCCATTCAGAAGCATAGTTTGATGCTTCCCGTAGCCTGGAAAGTCGATGAAAGTGCCAAGGCCAAAATACCCATCGATCGACAGAGCGACCTTCTAACGATAAGCGATTAAAGTGTTGCCCGTGACGGATGCCTGGTACAGTCAAGGTCAACATGCTCATGCAGTTAAGATGTTGTATGGTCATGTAAACGGTAATGGCAAGTTAAGGGTAACTTCTATATACTTATGGTTATGGAATGAATGCAGTGTAAGTGCTTTGTTTATATGAGCTATTTAGCCCGTACAGTTTTGCACGTTTTGTGTCATCCGCCATGCAGGATGATACCGCAGCTTTTCGTTGCATGATAACTGGTGGTTACGAGGCAATCGAGGTGTTCCAACGCGAGATGTTGCGGTTCCACAGAGAAACTGCAAGTTCGTTTTATAGATTCACGGTGATTACTGCGGCGGGTCATAAGCAAAGTACTGGACTGGGTAATCCTATCATTCCAATGCCGCTTGAACTTGAACTTGGAAGCGATCTCCCCAATGGTGTTCGTTATCGATTCATACAATATCGATGTGTGCATAGCAAGCGTAAGAATGTGAAAGGGAAGTGGTAAGAAGCACCGTTACCCCGCAAAACCTAGTGGCAATAAATAGTTCGTGGTCATTTTATGGTATGATTCCCGGCTCTCTTTCTGCCTTTGCAGTTTTATTCAATTGTGTGCCCGGAGCTCAGAGTCTGTGCACAGAGGAAGTAGATAGGAAGGCCGCCCGGAAAGAAGCCGTGAACAAGTTGCTTGGTAGTTCGTATCAGTGAGGCTTAATAAACCGCCTGTTGCAGCGGATTTTAACTCATCAATCACAGCGTACTACCCAGCGGTTTTGGACGGAAAGTTTTCCTTGTAAAGCTAGAATTTTGGAGGCCATCCGGACAGTCTTAAGTGAAGAAAAGATAAGGGTAATTTTTCAGAAAGGCCAAATGCTGCGCTCAACTCCAGTGCACTTGAAAGGCACACTTGGCGCAGATATGACAACCAACTGCGTCTACAAAATTAGTTGCAAGGGCAGCGCATACGTGTACATCGGGCAAACCGCGAGAGAGTTACGCACAAGGATAAAAGAAAACGAGAGACGCGTACCATGGCCACTGAGAAAGAAGTTTCTGCATATGTCTTCACAAAGGATTTTGGCACTATCGCTGCACGCCATAGATACAGGGCGTGAGATCGACTTGGATAACGGTAAAACCGTTAGAAAGAGATGGCGATGAACTCCCCAGTGACTGACTGCTGCGATAATTGTGATTAGCAAAGGGTTCAGTTGCGTGAACAGAATGAAAGGGGAAGAAGTTCCAAGCGTGTGGCTTGATGTGTTAACCCGACCGGTCTAAGGAGCGCCTCCGGAAGAATCCAGGACAAATAAATAACGTCACTCCATCCCGCATCCCTCGTTAACAGGGCCTACCTGCATGGCCCGATAACGCGGACCACCTGTGACCGTTCCATGCACTTGTTGGAGGGATGCGTTGACCTGCAACGCGGTGGACCTATTGCCTAAATCCCATTCATCTCGATTATCCTCCCAGTTTGCTACGTGTTATGCTAATCCTCGACAGGTTCACTCGAGTTGAGGAAGCTTTTGTGTCAAAAGTGAAACATTGTCCACAACTATACCGAGCGCTGGTTTTCAAACTTTCTTTAAACCATGAGTTCACGATCGGTGCCAAGTGTTTTCCAAGCGGTTGGAAACCTGACAAGGTTTTGAACTGCTGCACGTGCCTTGTCTGTTTCTCGTGTTCAGGCAAGCGGTTCCAAATATTGGCCACTCTCCTTTCGAAGCATAGTGGGTGGGAATACGCTTCCCGTCCAACCAGAAAGTTACGGATCCACCGGTGAATTGGGTCACCGGCATCACATATCTTGTAGTTGTGAAGGAGAATCTTGTGGTTGAACTTGTCGGACGCTTTACTAAAATCAGTGGTTGTCACCACGTCAGACTTCTCCTTGCTTATGATCGTCAACTACTCATGCCATGTCACAGGCAAGTTATTAATGCTTGGGCGTATTTGCGTAAACCCGCGCTGTGCGGGCGTCAGAACCTCTTTTGACGGTAGAAACCGCAGCAATCCCTGTGTTACCATTTTCTCAGCAACCCTTGTCAAAACAGGTGTTAGACAAATTGGCCTGTAGTCGTCCACTTTGCTACTGTCTCTGCCTTTCGGAACAAACTTACCACCGAATACTTCTAGTCAATCGGCAATGAACCATTGGTCCGCGACCTGTTGAAATGATCAGTCCAGAGAGGGGAGAAGTTGGTGGAGAGTGCTTTGAGAAGTAATAAATGGAGCTCATCAGTTTCGGCAAGTTCGGTGCCATCAGGACAGGCGAGTAGTAGCCATAATTCATTAACAATGCAATCCGGAATGTCGAGTTCGGTAAAAGCGGTACACATCGCACTCGAAACCGAAACATTGTCGTTCGCTATCACAGCAGAGAAGCGCACCGCCAACGCGTACCCAAGCATAGTGCTGAAGAGTAGGGGCTGCAAATCCAGGCCATCCAACACTGGCACATTACCTGCCAGCTTCAGACGTCGCTTCAAGTAAGCAACACTTCCCTTTGGAGCGGTCTTCGCGGCGAGCGCGAGCTGCTCTTCAAACTGTTGACTCTTATTTCTTTTTGCACTGTTGCAGAGGTTCCGATGACTTTTATATTTTTGGTAATCATCGCAGATCCATAGCGAAGGATTTGACCCAATGTCTGCGCCGCCTCCGAGCCAGGTTTCTTTACTCCTTGTTAAACCAATGTGGCTTAATCCGTCCAACCTACCAGCCTTTCAATTACACCACTTAGGGAACAGTAGTCTCACTCCCCGGAACCCCACCATATAAACTCGTGAAGGATTTGTGGAGGCGGATGAAACAGTTGGGTGCCAGCTCCGAACATAGCATCAACAATGCTGAACAATTCCTCAACAAACTGCTGAGTGTCAGAATAGAAGATGAGGAAATAATGCCTTCATTCGATGTCACCGCACTCTTCACTTCAAACCGTCATGAATTAGCCCAAGAAACCATGCTGGAACTACTTGAGAATCAAATAAGCCCCACAACAACCATACGACCTGAAAGATTTTGGGAACTCCTGAACCTCTGCATGACCATTTAGTTCCGCTTTGATGGACAAGTATATCAGCAACTGAGAGGAACCCCCATGGGATCACCAATTTCGGGGCTCATTGCAGAAGCCGTAATGCAGAAATTGGAGCGCATTGCACTGCCATCTATCAGCCCAAAACTCCGGATACGATTCGTGGACGACAGGTTTGTCATCGTAAAACGGAACAGTGTACATGCCACTCACGATTTGCTCAACAGCACATTCGAGGATATAAAATTTACGATTGAATTAGAGGGGGTTAACAAGCTACCATTTTTGGATGTACTGGTCACTAGGAATACAGACTGATCGATGGAAACATGCGTATATCGGAAGAAAACGCATACGGACCAGCTATTAAACTACCACAGCAATCACCCGATGAATCCCAAGAAGTGCTGCCTTTAAACCTTGTTCAAAAGAGCGGAAACGCACTGCAGCACAGCCGAATCACGGAAACAGGATGAACATCACATATATCCAGTGTTTGGAAACAACCGTTATCCTAGAAGTTTCCTCAGAAGAAGCTTAGAGAAACGAATGCCTCCGCAAAAGCAGCACAGTCAGCTGATCAATCAAACAAACGGATAGTGCTGCCCTACCACAAGAACGGCTCCAAGCTTACAGGAAGATGGTTGCAATCACATGGAATCTTTAGGGCTTACAAGCTTAGTGCCACCCTAAGGAAATTGGTCTCAAGGGCCAAAGGAAAAGTCCTTCAAGCCAACCAATGCAATGTCCTTTGCCAATTAAGACGCAGTGACTGCGATAAAATCGACGTCGTACAAAGTGGAAGAAAAGGTTGTACACGAATCACGAAACAAAAGGGGGTCGTCAGAAGGCATGATCCACACTCACTGGTTTTTGCACATGAAGATCAAGAAGGCCACCATTTCGAGCTGGAGAATGTAAAGATCCTAGCACATAGAAGCACAAAACACTAGAGGGAGTTTTTGGAAGCCTGGTACGTTACAACGCATGCAATCAATCGACACATCGATCTGGGCGCAGTATACGCCACACTACTGATGAACGACCGTCAACTCGATCGATTGAATCCGGTAGAACGTGTGAGGACAACCAGAACTGACGACAGATTCGCTTGCAAGAGCAAGCAGACAAAGAAGTCTAAAGCAAAGGTCATTTCCCCATTAAGTATGCGGAGCGTGGATCGAAGTCCCAACCAATAGGTTGGCTCGGCTACACGGCCAACCACGACGGTATAAAAGCGCGCGCACACCACGCTCAGCGCACTCTCACGGATGCTTCTCCACGCTACTCTAGGCTGTTAGACGCTTCTCAACTACGCACTGCTGATGTTGCCTCGATTGGTGATGAAAAGTTTGCAACAAAATTGCCAAGCTCTGCGAACAGTTCAACTAAGGGTTCGCTAAGAGGTTACCAGTTTAAGTTAGTCACGCAGTACAGTCGCCTGAAATGTCGGCGAAACTATTTACCCCTTCGAGTGGCACAGCCTTGAAACGGCCTCCCGGAACGTACTATCAATGCACCCACCCTATCCCTTATCAAAAAACGCCTTGTCGATACCCTGTCACCTTTACACTACGTGTTATAGTTCATGACTGCCAGCTACTGGCACTAACGCACAACAGACAGGTGCTCGTGTCATAACTCTACTCGAGAATAAGTCCTTCCAAAAGCCTTGCACGAAATTTGTTAAACGCTACTACTATGGAAACTGGATTTCTGTATCCTGTGGACGCAAGATAGTTGCACACGTGTAAGCGTTGTCCTTGCGATCTTTTTTATTTTTCTCGCCT